GTATATGATTCTTGCATGTTAAATGACTAACACAAACCTTACATTTATAATGTGCATGTGTTAGGAAGGCTCCCAAATCATTCTGAGGGGGCCTATCCTATTTTTGTAATTGAATGATAATGTGCTAATCCATTACCTTGAGTTGTCTGCACTCAGGAAAACATCCCTATCAAGTGTTAACCCAATAACTAGGAGAGCTCTGAAGGCCAAGGGTCAGAGAGAGAGGATCACACTCTGCGGCTGCAGAGAGCAACTTATCCACGGGCAAGGAGGTCGTTCGAGATGAGAGGATTCTAATCTTCAACTTTCTGATGAGATGGGATGCTTCTTCATTTTGGCTCGCAGGACGAGCGATGGCTTCAGAGGTCGTCATACAAGGTTTCCATGTTTCTTGGAGGAGCAGATGTTTTCATAACCTCTCCCATCACGGGGGGGGCATCTGGATGTGCCACTTGGCATAGGCAGGTGCACTGCTCTCAAGCAGATAGCAGAAGGAATACAGGCAGATGAGCCTCTGTTTCACTGGGAGATCATACAGTGCTCACTGAATTGAGCCACAAAAGCAGAGCAATTGGGGGGGATTGAGATATGGCGCTCTGATGAAGAAGAGTTTTGAGCCAATCAGCACCTCAGTGCTAATCTACAGATAATTGAGATATGGCGCTCTGATGAAGAAGAGTTTTGAGCCAATCAGCACCTCAGTGCTAATCTACAGTATCAGGATGCCTTTACACACCAGACATTCTGTGTCATAAAGAGAGGAGGAAAACATGTCTTCTAGCTCTCGTACAAAGATAACATTTGAATTGAATGACCAGATGATTACAGATGTACAATTAATGATTGTTTTTGTATTCCCAATGAACAGATATGTGTTAAATAGTGGTGATAAATATATTTTATCAGATTACACTTTCACACTAAACTAATTAATTAATTGATATTTTCAGATTTATAGGGTATTGAACAATAAGATATTTCTAATATTATAACAGACAATGTTACTATCCTTAATCATTACCAGGTAAGAACAGATGTTTTGATATTGATTACAGTTGATGCTCTGAATAAAGAACAGATGTTTTGATGTTGATTACAGTTGATACTCTGAATAAAGAACAGATGTTTTGATTTTTTCCCTTCTCAGGTCGTTATACAATAAAATGTTTGATTCTTCAGATTGTTAAACATTTTGAGAATTGTTTAGTTTTCCCTTCAGATTTTGAGATGACATAATGATTGATAGTTGAAGTCTGATTTATACCTCAATTGGATTTATTATAAATCCTAAATTCTAATTGTGTTTTAATAAGTAATTGCCTTGAAGTAAATCTTTGAGATGTAAGCTGATTTAGAATTTGTGTTTGATGAAGGAGATTAACTGAGGGATAAATGATAAAATATCTTATTTTTGAAACATATATTTTGCTATAATATTGTTGTATTTCACGTGTTTATTATTGTGCTTTTTGACAAATGATGCCAAACACTGAAGAGAGATGATTTTATTATGATTGATTGTATCTTGTCATGGTGATTGAAGTGTTTTCAATCTTGTTCTACTTTTGATGTAATTAATGTGAGTGAGCCCACACAACTCTGAAGACGCTTATTGACTTAAGTATTGACTGAAATATTCTTTAGACTAATGTTAATTGATTATCATAAATTGATAAAAGGGTGGATCTGTAAAGGAATATTTTGGTCTTGTTAAAGTATATAGAGTTTAGTGATTTGTCCTCGGGAATCTGTTTAATGGTTAAAGTGTATTCCTGCCTGTAATGTGATCCATAGCTTCTCAGGAAGACACAGGTCAAGAGGTCATCTGATGTCTTGTGGGGGAGAAGCTTGGCTCATGTGGGTTTACAATACAACGAGTCTTTGTCTCGACATCTGGCATGCATTAAAGGAAAACCCGCGTGTTTTAGGGCCCTGCTCTTCTCCATGTATAGATGGGTGCTTGGCGCTTTTGGGGCAGAGTTTGCTGGGATCTTACATGAGAACTGTGATATGCTGTGAACTCTCCGGCCGTTCAGGCTCTCAATAAATATCAGTGTATTGACAGGCGAATCCAGTTTCACTCATTTCATGATTGGCTCAACATTGCTGCAAAGAAGTTTTAACTTCACAATACTAATAATAACTTTGTATTATTAGTGTAGGACACTTATGTATGTATAACATCTGAAGATGTTTAGTTTTATTCATATGTTTTTACATCATTTTACAGGATATTGTTATACTATTTATCATGTTTTACTTCTACACATTAATATCTGATTTGTAAAACATCACAGACAGAAAGGCATATCCGTCATTTAATGGTAAGCTATTGCAATTGTGATTCCATAGATGTGTCTCCCATCACCTAAATCCCCTCACTATTCTTTCAACTCAGTATTTACATTCTTATATTCAAAGAAAATCAGTAATATCTTTAAAAACTACAAGTCCTTTTATATCTGCTGTGCACCGTTATGGTGTAAATATAACCTATCTATGAATTAGATCAATTATAAAAGTCAGCCGAATTACTATTGATGATACTGCAAGGAGCCGTATTTTGTGAAAAGAAATGCAAGATGTTGTTTAATTGTTTATATATTTATGATCCACGTCACATATTCAGTTTTGGCGGCAGTTCTTCAAGTTTGTCCAGAAGTCTTCTCATCAGAGCTCTATAAATAAAGAACTACGGCAGATGTGTAATATTTAATGTAGCCGAACCGTGTATTGCAATGCACATTTTAAATGTTTTCGGATATCATATCGCATTATCATCATATCCCAACATGCATTGCGGCTAAAACATCCAATCAACGAGCTTCAAGCTGAGGATCTTGGGTAATCTGTTCAGTGGGTTTGTGGTGTGTATGCTCGAAATGTCTCTTATAGGCCTACGTCTGTATCCGGTGACTTTATTTATGGCTAAAAAGCATGCTAAAAAGCCCAAGATTATAGAATTAAACGAATAAATAAACACAAGGATAATTGTGTGTTATTGTTGTGTAAATAACAGTGTGTTGTTTCGAAAATAATAACAAATTCGAAGGAAAAAAAGATTTAAAAAAATACAGATTTCAGTATTTTGAGGCTCTAAGCTCCATTTATTTTCCTCACAGACGGCAAAAATGTCCGACATTATACGATTTAAAATAAAAACAAATAAATAAAAAGATAAAACACTGGCATGTAATTTTATGTTAGAATAAATAGAATGTTTTGAATAATAGATGAGAGTAAAATCTACGTCACTTTACAGCCCCGCCCACTTTTGGGGAAACCAACGCTGTCATTTGAACGGCGATCAAGCCTGAAGCCACAGAGATCTCCTGTTACTGTGCTTTCTTCTTAGAGGAAGTACAGAAACACGTAACTCTGGATTTGTTTTAATGTTTGAGGTGAGGTGAGTGCAACAAACGACACAGCAGCTTTTTGGCATGTTAAAACTATTATTTATTTTCTGCCTCGCTCATCGGCTGGCGAAATTACAGCCTCGCCTACTGATTTCAAATGTGTGCTCTAAAATGATATTTATAAATGACTTGTTATCATTATTTTAAGCAAGACAATAAATGGCAAAGATATGTAGAAAATAAACGTATTTAAGATACGTTCATAAGAAACGTAACGTGGGAGAAAATATGTTGCTAGCTAAACGTAATTGAGAATGCAGTTTAGTTATGTGGGAACGTAATTTTTAGGAGACAGGGTTGACCTAGCTTACTTCGTCTTCTTCCTCAGCCAACATCCTTGGTATCTGTTGTTCACTGAGTTGATTCCCCCCTTCCATCTTGATGTTTGTTGGCATCTCTTTATGACCATTTATTTATGAATTACTAACATTTATAGTTTCCAAAAGGGAGCCTTGTTGTAGAGTGTAAAACACATTCCCATTTATTAATGAGTTACTACCATTTCTAATAAGGCTTAGCAGTACATATACATGTGGGCTCACTATTTGGCAAGGAACCGGTCACAGTTGCCCTGTTTATCTCATGTCTTATAAAAGCTTATTAAGGATTTATAAAGTGTTCACAACCTAATTAATAAATGAATTACAAACTATTCGTAAACTCTTTATAAGGGTAGTCTTATTGTAAAGTGTACCAAATATTGAATCAAGGTCAAATTTGATCGTTCTCTGTGGTGTATCAAAGTTTAGTTTTATTTCCGACGTGGACGGATTAGATTTGACGGCGTTCTTTGCGACAACTCCTGTTCAATCATCATTTGATTAAATATTGCCAACATTTATCCTTATAACACATGACTTACTATGTGTTTTAGAGCCACTTAAAAACAAGATTATACCAATTTAAATGCTATTCAGGAAGCTGTTGCCCCGATAGGGCAGACAACACCTCGTCATACTGGTACTGAAATGCAATGCTTTATATGGAAATACATGTTTACAATGCACTTGTGTAAAGCTGAAGGGAATTGAATCTCTGTGCTGCGTTAAGCTGAATTAATTAAGGTACCAATCTGGGATGCAGAATGAAATCCCTGTATTGATTTAAAAAGCCAAAAATACCTAATGGGCTCATTAAAGTCCAAATACATCCTGAATGAGATACTGTAATGCATGCTTTAAAGGGCTGACATATATACAAATATATGTCTTTCTAAATCCATTCATTAAACATTACACAATAAACCATGCTCAGTGTTAACACCAGTAACCTTGGATTTGAATGCTGTCAGTCTTAAAGGATATTATATTCTGTTTCTGTTCATATTAAAAAATCCAATAAAAAAAGATACCAACAATGCATTGAAACGCCTAACACATTTGACCTGTATGGCCTCTATCAGCCTCTGTAGCACAGAAGTCCATTGTATCCGAAATCTATTAAAACCATCGAGTCACACTGTTTAGTCATTACCATGGACACACACAAACAAACACACACACTCCTACTGTTTGAGTGAGGCTTTGTCAAATCTGCAGTACCCAGCTGTTACAATAACTGATGCAAGAATGACACCACAACTTGTTGAGCTGTTTTAATGATTTATTAGGGTGGAGAAGTCAGAAAGTATTGAGTTGGTTTACATGTTTTCATATGATTTCTTGACGATTACAACAATATAGAATATTGTCAGCCTTATCCTCATTCTTTGTGCTAGAATTCTGTTAAGTAGCGTTTTGGAAATTGCTCTTAACCTTCAGCCTTGAGATTCAGAGTCCACAGATTCTCCCTTTAGGATATATTTCTCCTCTCCCCTTTAGGATATATTTCTCCTCTCCCCTTTAGGATATATTTCTCCTCTCCCCTTTAGGATATATATTATGATGCTTAGCTCCCGTCCTGTCAGCCCTTGGTTACAGTGAGTGCAGTGCTTTTATTGGCGGCGATGGGAGTGGTTACTTTACAAATGTTAGCCTTTTTCTTTAGGAGGCGTACTCATACTCTTCAGCACTGCGCCTTCCAAAGTCCATCCAGCCTTGGTAGTCTCTGTCCGTTATCCTGTGGGCTGGGGACAGGCCGCTGGCTCTGCTGCTGAGGGAGGATCTGCTCTGGTAGGGGGAGGCTGGGGGAGGCAGAAACAGGAGGATGTGATGAGGACAGGAAGGGGAAAACATGATTGCATGCACATTTTTCTACCTATGTCAAATGAATATATAAGAGGTTGTTGAGTTAACTCATGCTGAATTGTTTTGATTATACCCCCCGCCAGGTGAGCTCTGCAGGTCTTCCAGTCACACAGTGTTAATTTGAAGGAGCAACAGAGACACAGCGACAGAGAGAGCGGAGTGGGGGGTCAGGGGACCAGTGGAGGGGGAGGTATGGGAGGAGATAGAGAGCTGGAGGGAGGCGAGACATGGCAGATGGTGTGACTATGGGCTCAGCATGAGTGACGGCAGATAGAAATAACAGGACCAAGAGGAGAAGACGTGAGGATTGTTTTCTTGGGATGACTAAAGGGAGAGATGTTTTTTTTTTCTAATACTTTCTATTAAACCTCTCGCTGTACATGATCCGCTCACCTTTCCTGGAGAGCAGTCTGGCCAGGAGCTGGCTCAGGCTGATCCGAGCATCTGCGTTCTCTTGGGATGGGTTGTAGTTGGCGAGCTGCCCTGAGGGGGGGGCAGGGGCCGAGCGGGCCAGGCGTGTGTGGTGGGGTGAGGGGGGAGGCATGCTGTCTGACACCAGAGCATCACCCTCTGCTCTCTGGGACTATAGTGGAAGAAACAGGGAGAGAGATGAGGAAAATGTAAAATCCTGAAATTATGGTTGCATAATCTTTTGGTATTGACATAACCATGATATTAAAATAAATGTCATGTTAATAATGAGTGCGTTCTATTATGCCTAATGCTTTCTCTACATCTTTGAACTTGTATGAGTCCAATTCATTTGACAAAAAACAAACAACTGGTAGCATTTTTTAAATTATGTTTTCTACAACTATTGCAAAAATATTGTTCTTGTGAATTGTCTTGGACACAGTCATCTTGTAGAGAAATACATTCAAGAGTATCTTTAACTCAACAACATCAACCGATAAACAAAAACATTTTGTGGTCTTTATTTAGAAAATACATGCGTACATTTACTACTAAGCGATTCAAACATTGGCTAAACCACTTCAAAATCATGTTTCTCTGACTGTGCAAGTGTTGCTGTCTGTAGAATAATTTAGTAGCGATGGAATGTGTGTGTGTGTGTGTGTGGGTGTGTATCTTACCATGGATTGTGAGGGCAGACTCAGGGAGCCGCTGGACAGAGCAGCCAGGAGAACAACACACACACGGATCCCTACATTCATGGCTGACGAGAGAGAGAAAAAGACAAAAAATAACAGAGTTAAAGGAAATTCTTGACACTTAAAGGGGCCATTTTATTAGATCATCGCTTTTATTTCGCCCCTACTCTTTATTCCCTTTTATTGTGTCCCTTCAGCTCATTATACATCTGTTTGGGAGGGGTGGTGGTGCAATATGAGTTTTGCAGAAAGCAGCAATAAATCAATTCAAAGTTGTTGAAGTAAAAGTGGTAATTGGGCAGTGGGGGGGAAGTATTAACCTTTGATGGATCAGCTGTTAACTGAGGCAATGATCATGTTCTTCTGTTCAATTTAGAATTCAACACATACAAGCAATTGGTGTGCCTTAGCTGTAATGAATGTACATTCAGCTATGTGAGAATCCCAAAGGAAATACACCAATTATCTCCAAATCTTATTTTTGCTCTGTGATGTTTTTTTAAGGGTCCATATGAGAGTCAATATTAACACGAGAGCACTGACAAAGGACACGAGGCATAAATGTATTGACAAATTAAATAAAGAGGGAGAGAAACAAAAATCTGTTTTCCCTTTTATCTGCTTAACGCCAATTAACTGCTACAAAAAGCAGTTCTCTATTATTGAAAAAAGGAAAAACAACATAAAAGACAGCATTATAAAACATTTGTCAAACTAATTAGCTAATTTGCTATTATCTTGGAGCCTCTCAAAGCAGCATATTAGTTTGTGATGGATAGCGCTTAACGCCAGAACATTTTTCCAGAGCAAATCATCCAATTATTAGATGAAGTCAACAACAGCAGCCGCTCTGAGGTTCTCAATCACCAATAGATGTTTCACTCTGAGTGCCTCAGTGTTTCTGTGCCGTCCTCTGTGGATACGTGTCCACTATTACTCAGGGTCTTTACACAAACGCTCCCTCCTTTTATCTTTAAACCTCCAATTCCATGGAAACTGCTTTTTAAATGTTTTGTTTTTTTCAACAAATAACGTCCTCTCCATACAGATGCATAATCAAGACTTATTCTCCTCCTCATTGGACGTAACAATGACACACATGATCCCTCAACATGGATTTACAGTGTTAAGCATATTGAAATAAAAAACCTTCACCAAATGATATCTAAAACATATTTTTGTGTTATTTTATCAATATAAAAAGGCCATTTGAATAACCATGTTTTAATTGACACAGTGGTGGTGTAAACAGCCATTCTCTTGATGCTAATATAATTCTTGTTAGCAGCTGGTCATCGTATCAAATTCATTATTCAATGAGCTGGTAATGATGTGGTACTATAATGCGTGTGAAGCCCTCTCCTAAAAAAAAATCATAAAAAGGGATTTTTTTTCAACCACCTCCGTGGTCAGTTTTTCCACAGAGATTAATATTCAGACTTACTTGGACACTAGTTGCAATTTCCCCCCTACGATTATTAATGAGCACAATCCTGTGTATGATTTTTGCAGCAATAATAACTAACCTAGCAAGCAAATAATAATACATACAATTATTATTTCACAAACACATTTCTGAATTCATGGTAATCCTAAAAAAAAAAACCGAATTCCAATGTCGTGCTCTGATATTTTGACACCCGGATAGTAAAAAACATGTGTCCTTAAACAGCTTGATTATCCTTAGATTGTAAATCTGTCACCTTGAATTATTAATTGTTACATATTTCAAAGGTAATGTCCTATAAAATACTTCAAAACATATCAGCTGCTTCTCATTTTAAATTATGTTTGAGAGTGGCATCCCCCTTGAAAAAACTTAGAAAGAAATTAGAAATATTGAATGAAAATAAACCAAATTTCAAAAAATGAAACCTCTTATTAAGAGAAATTATTAAAATATGAAATCACCTTCAGTATAATGAGTCCTCCTGCACCAGAAAAACTGGACACAACTATGGACACACTTTTTATAATAATTTTCTTACTCTTACCTGCAGTTGTTGGTGAAGACGGGAGATGCTGAGTCTGAAGATGCTGAGCTCTGCTGCTCCAGAGTTCAGGATGTGAGTGGTGTGTGAGAGAGGAGATCATGTCTTATACTGACACACAGGAAGGGGGAGGAGCCTGATGCTGGCACAGAAACGGGCAGTCCTGACGTATTTGTGGACGCAAACCAACATGCACACATATTGCAAACGCATTCAGACAAACACACAAAAAAAGGTTATGACAAAGGTTGCTGCTTCAATTGTGTGGCCTGTTTCTAGAGCACCTGTGTGAGAAAGAGAAGAGGAACAAATGCACACACACACACACACACACACACACACACACACACACACACACACACACACACCACACACACACACACACACACACACACACACACACACACACACACACACACAACACACACACACACACACACACACACACACACACACACACACACACACACACACACACACACACACACACACACACACACACACACAAACAGAACTGGTGGTTATGAATATACCAAGGTTGTGGATCCAAGAGGAGAACAGTCAAAGAGAAAGTACACCTACTGTATAATTGTATTGAAAATGTCTGAACTATATAACTATATACAGTTAAGACTGTAGAACATCTATATGAGTACATTCAATTACATTTCTCACTGTGTTGGAGTCTTTCTTTCTAACAGGGCAGAAGCATTGTTTAGTTATGTCAGGCCATTAGGGTTTCATATAGGGACATTAGTTCTCTCTGGTGCTTTCTTTTATTTATATCACCAACAGCCTTGAGTCTATGAGTGTGTCAGAATGTGTGATCTTTTATTGTGTGTGTGATGCATGTGCAGCCACTGGCATGTTAAAAAAATGCTGTTTATAGAGTTTATGGACAAAGTAATTTTAAAACTGACATTGAGTGATTTGAGTCTGATGAAAAGACTGAATGGCATTCTTACATTGAACGGTAGGAGCTGTAAGCTGAGGTAATAACAGTGTATAAGTAAGTGGTTAATGCAATTGGTTTTCAAAAGGTTTAATAAAGCTAGATTTTAACTATTTGTCCTGACATTGAATCTTGAACATTGAATTTAAAGCAATACAGTTAATAAGAGCTTAAGTTAAGCAGTACGTATGTTTTGTAGAGTAGAGAAACACAGCTGGCTTCATTTGCCAGGATAGTTATTATTCCTATTATGTGAATTTAGATTCTGATTCGCTTGCAGGGCTTGTCTAAATCATTTAAAATTCTTCATGTTTTTAATTGCAAGTGAGGTCACATGAAGGCTCTTAAGCATTTTTGAAATATATTTCAATCATTCTTTAGCTTTGTGCCGTTCAGAGCTTGAGTCCTGAACTGAGATCTTTGCTGGCACTCCCGTTTAGATTAAATTAATATTGCATGGGTCTTTTTTGTCAATGTTCATTATAGTACAAAAAGATAACGCTTTAATGTGTGAGTCTGATAACGGCTATCTGGGTCTGACCTCGTGGGTTTTAGCTCTACTCCAGCATGTTCATGAGGCTAACATTAGCTTGTTTCCTAACATCGTCATTGGCAGGTGTTCCACGTTTGTTGTGGTGTCATTGCAACCTGACTAACTACTTAAAAACATACACACAAAAAACAGCGTTTGGAAATTGGAAATATATATATACACACAAAATATACATCCAATTCAACCAACCACCAATATACCTAACATTCCATTATTTTCTCTTTTTTAAGAAACATAATCTATGACATATCACAGATAATCAAATAGGTCAGTAAAACATACAATTATGTGACCTTTACTTTGCATTGCCAGCAGTTTGCCATCTTTTAACCAACGTCTAAACAACCTGAAGCAAGTCCAGGAGGAGCGCTGCATAAGCTTGAATTCAATGAGGCGAACACTGGAATCCCTTGACAATCTTGTCAGGTTCTTACACATCCTATACGGGCGGGCAACAACATTTAACTGTCTTTACCTCATGAATAATGAAGGCGAGAAAACCACTTCCTGCTTGTTACTCCATCACATAGCTTCCCTTTTCGTGGCAAGCATTTACTGTTCTCCTGCTCCATCATGATTCAAAATCTAATCAGCAGTGTCTAAGGCATTGAGGATGCTTTTGGGCAAACACACAACTGAACAAATGACACTCTCCTCCCAAAAGGTGTTATTAAAGAAGTAGGCTACAGCTGGTTGTGTTCTGCCCCTTTTCATAAATCATGTGAGACTCTTAGTGTGTCTTTGTTGCTGGTTTGCTCTATCTGTAGTTGTTTTGGTCTCTATGTAATCTTATTGAGGATTTATTTTGTAATGTTACGTTTTATTTGTGGTCAGTTTGGGTAGGCCTACTGTCTCTTTGACTTTCATGTTGTAGGTAAAGGCCAGGGGGCCCCTGTTTCTGTGTGCACAGCAATCCATCCTTGCACCGTGTAAATAATGAAATCATAACTGTGCATGCTGACTCACTGTCAATGGGATACCTGAGCAGAATCATCGTTAATGTCATTCCTTTATGAACATACTTTCCTCCACTTCTTAACTTACTTCAGACATTTTAGTCACAGGTCGACGGTATCTACATTTTTATAAGCTTCTGAAGCTGTGAGCACAGTATACTCTACTGGTGGAAAGAGCCAACGCACCCTCTGAAGTTGAGCGGTCTAAAGGTAACAGAGCTCAGTTTGTTCCGTTTCTTGCTGGTGGAAGAAATTACCGAATGTTCACCTGTTACATAGCCTATGGCAAGCCCTTTTACACATAACACATTTAACTTGATAATTTCTAATTTCAAGTTAGAGAACTAAAATACATGTTCTGACTAATCATACATTGCTGAAGCTTTCAATGTTGTCTTTCTTGCCATAGATCACCTGCTGCCCATCAAACGCACCCCAAAAGTCAGAGGTTTAATGTTCAGAGTTTTTCTGTCCGTTTTTTACTTACTCTGGAGGATTTACTCTCCACTGTGATGACGAGGAAGAAAACGGCTTCAGTTCAACAAGGTAAGTAATTCCTGCTTAACATGCGTGTTGCTGGTTACAGTGCTTTTAGTTGCTTGTTTATTTATATGCAGGTGCGCCACGTGAAGGCTAATTGCTAGCTACCTGCTGCTGCTAGCAGTTAGCTTGTGTTGGTATGAGTTGGGAATGTTCTTGCATTGTTTGAGCTCGTTTTTCTTTGCTTGTTGTTCTAGGTGTACTTAATGGTACTTGTATGTTAACTTATGTAACATTATTCATGTTGAAGAGTTGTAAATAAGACATGGTAACATATTTCCCCTGGGTTGTTATTGACTCATAGAGGATAATATGGCATTGGCTGTTTTCTGCTGTCTTCTTGGTTAAAACATGACTTTCATTCACATAACTAAATCTGGCCTTATTTATAGTGTTTTGGAGAGCTCTTTATGACCTGTTTTACATTAACATTTTCTTAACATATTCAGTTAATATATCATATTATGGGGTATTCAGCTAGACTCGTTATAGTATAAAATAGAGTTGTAAGTATCTCAATGGTTGTGGGGAATTATGTCAGTCTAAATGCAAATACAGTATTTGATATGCTGTTTGCATACTGTAATAAATTGGATAAAAAGGACTTAAGTTCTTATCACAGATCAAGAAAGAGGCTTTTACTCCACAAGAAACACCTTCAGTATAAGGAACAAATCATTAATTAGTATTTTTTTAATACATGCATAAGTGAACAAAAAAACTAATTCTGACAAACACAAACCAACAATTATATCAATATGTATCCTTATGCATGGACATGCATTATAAAGACAACCCACTGCTGAAATAGGCCATCAGTCAATGCCAAACTCAAATGATCCAAGCAGGTATTGCACACAGGTCTGTGGTTCATAAGGACTACACGCTTGTCATCATGTGCACACAAAGTTTATTTTTAAGGAATGCATCTATGTTTATTCTCTCCCTCCCTGTTGTGAATCATAGCACTTGAGTTAATTGCCTTGCCGTGTTGCGTTGTGTGGAACAGAAGCCTCGTCAGTGGATGGTCCCTCGTTTCTATAATCAACTGGCTCATTCTGTATGGTCAGACATGAAGGGAAGTCCTCGGCAGAGATGAAGATAGAGGGGGAAAGTGCGTGGGCATGGACACAGACATGTTGATGATGATTAAAGAAAACACTAATCAAATTATCTACAAAAAACACGTGTAGTAGGCCTACTTTTGAAAACAGTTTCTCAAGAGCTTTAGAGGAATGATCTGTGGTGGCAGACTGTCTCAATAAAGACCTGTGAAGAAACTGGTGGAAAGAGTAAGGATTTTAGATTAAAGAAGATGAATGTGCTGATTATAGAACACAGTCTAGAATGAGACAATCATCCTGACTTTGATTCACATCAATCAACTTTTAACAGATAATAATGTAGACCTGGGTTTGCTAGTTTTTCTAGAGAAAAGGTATAATGGTAATAGGGTTATAATGAAAAAAGGGATTATTCAGTAGTGTCTTCTATTGATTCTTCCCTGCTTTGCACCATTTCAGAGGAACTCTTCATATTTCACAAACAACCCCCCCCCCACACACGCACGCACTAGGGCTGTCCCAAATACCATTTTTCGGGCTCCGGATATTCGGTAGTAATCAGCAGCGAATATTCGGTGCGGAGATTTATTTATTTTTTAATAAAAAACCTTTTTTCCAAAGGGTTTCATAACACGCTCCGAATCCGAGACCCCTGACAACACGCTGTTAAGCAGAAGCACAGAAAGAGCATACTATTACGATTTATATTTATTTATTGTCTCAGTACTCGCATACATTAAAACTAAATGTGTCCTCTGCATTTAACCCAGCCGCAGTGGAGCGCCTGGGGACCAAATCTGGTTCCAAATTCCGTCTATAACGTTTTACAACCTGAAGATACAAAACACATATTTATTTCTGTTATTGTCACAAAGTGAATAAAGTCAGTATGTTAGACAGTGGGACGGATGGTTAAACCTTTTATATAATTGTTGCATGTTACATATAGTGTTGTGATTTTAATGTTGTGCGCTATTTAGCGATGAACTCTTTTTATTTACATGCTTGTTTAACCTCCTCAACGAACTGTCACAACAAAGACACAGACACTGCTGATTGACACACCAGCACCCAGTGAAAATCAGCGATCTCATTCGCCTTTGCCAAATCCACTCCCCCATAAATACGCCGACTACCTGCTAGACGGCAGCTATTCTTCTCTTGACAGTTGCTGCCTCACCTCGCCGCAGATCGGATCGGATCCCTGCTGCTCCTCCTCACCTCGAAGCAAATC